AAGTATAAGACAACATTTGCATCACCTAAAGATGGAGGATTTTGCTTGGATTAAAATCAACTAGTCTATCACTCAACAGCTAAGTGGAAAATGTCATCTTAATACTATGGGGAATCGGAGAATTATATCTCAACTATGGAAATGAGTCATGTCTAAACTTTATGAAAAATTTTAAAATGAAAAGTGTGCAAAGGCACAAAAAGTTTGAATGAGGTTGATCTTTTTTAAAGTCTTTTTAAAATTTGTCAAAATATGATTAACGTTGATTGGAATTTATTAAAGAAAATAAAGTTTGAAAATCACTTGATAAAAGTCAAAGTTTTATTATGAAAGCGGTTTTAAGTTTGAAAGCAAGAAAGTTTTTGAAAAAGGGAGGAAATTTTGAAAATTTAAGAAGGGGAGAAGATGAAGTGACTACTCTAGAAAGCAAAATAAAAGCTAGAGATAAGAAGGATTTAACCAACTTGTAGTACACCCCATAGAAAGACAAATAAGAATTTCATCCATTTTGAAGCATAAGTAAGTGAGGAAGCCAAATAAAGGCAAATATCCACAATACTCCAAGCATAGGGAAAGAGTCCTAATTCTAAATTCAAGGGTCCAAGAATAGTCAAAGAGGTTCAAGGTCTAAGAATAGTCTAAGAGCATAACCAAAAAGTTAAGAGCACCAATTTTTTTTAGAGGTTTAATCCTTTATTAGTGTTTTAAATAAGATATGGTCCAAGTGGACAAAAGAAAAGAGCGGAAACATAAACATGTGTCCAACGGACAAAGGAAAAATAGCAGAAGCATAAACAATAGTATGATATGAGATAATAATAATGGAGCATAAAGATAAAAGAAAGATACGGAGCAAGAAGGAAACATAAACAAAATTAGTATAATGATATCGTTAATGAGTTAGTGGTTAGTTGTTAGAGCAAATGATCAATGATGGTTAACTCATGCACTTAAGCCAAAGTTGATGAAAACTTATTAGAGGATTGATAAAATCAAAGCCTACTAACAACAAATTTCATAAGTGATGGACCTAAGACAAAAAATCAACTATACTTGGACTTTCAAACATAACTTTAAGCCACGAGTGATCACTTTCCGATTACGGGACAATTTAGCGCTATGTTAAGCAATCATAATCGGGTTTATGTAGAAACCACGACTATCTGAGGCCGGTCAATAACAAGGTTAGTGCTAATGCATGCTAGAGAAGTGATATGCAGATCACTCTCCAAAAGCAACACCGCATGAAAAGAAAATAGGTAACGATCTCATCTTCATCAAGAACTTGAAATAAGTTCAAACGATATCGAAGATTTTCATCGATCAAAAGAAAAAAGAGAAGAGGAAAGGGAATGCCAAATTGGATTACAAGTTCAAGGTCATTTCGTCTTTAAGTTCATTCACTCATATTGGTGGATTAAAGTACTAAACATATCATTAACTCAAAGCACCTAAAATAAATTGAACAATTCTGTTTATAGATAGATTTGAATTAGTGAATATTTATCCAACTTCATCTAGATCCTAAGTCCAATGAATTTAAAGAGGAAAATAACCTTTAAAAGTGCATTCCAAGGCAAAAATTAAAAGGAAATGGAAGAAGAAGAAGAAGAAGAAGAAGAAGAAGAAGAAAGAACCAAAACAGTGCCAAAACAGAGCCAAAAGGAAAAATCAACACTGGGTAATCGATTACCCTAAGCTAGTAATCGATTACCACTGCTAAAACAATAGCAAAATAGTCTGAAAATGTGCCGAAACTTGATCAATCATTTCTTCAAACACCTCATGATCAAGGATGCAATTGAACAAGGAAATTCAAGTAAAATAACAGCAATCAACACCAATAGAACACAATTTGCAAGATTCAAACATCAAGTAACAAGAATCAACAATAGATCATATTGTGGAAGATGTATCCAGAATAACAATGGTGGATCAAGAAATTACCATTCCAAATCTGGAAATTCTTCAAATCAGCTCCACAAACCACACTTCAAAGCCTTGATTTACTAGAATTGATGATGAAAAAGTGAATGGGTGAAGGTTTAGCTCAAAGATTAGTAAGTTCTAATGATAAACTTACTAACTTTTAAAGGAAGAAAGAGTTTTGGTGAATTTGATAATTGGAGAAAAATTTAGAGTCAAGAAAAAAATTTGACAAGGTGAATTTGGCTATCAAAAGCTTATGAAATGAGAGAAATGAGACCTCTAATTATAGGATTTAGGCTTGGAAAATTTGGTGGATTGGAGTTTGGTTTGTAATCAAAATTAGGCTTGGAATTTGAATTTAGAGGAAAATTAATGATCAAGTGGTGATTGGTGAAGGTGTATGGTGGGAATTAATTATGATGAGGTAGGAGAATTAAAATGAAGTGATCTAGAATATTCTCATGTTGCAATATTTGAATTTGGTACCAAAAATACTACAGAATTTGAATTTGCCCAATTTTCACAAAATTCGCACAGGGTAATCGATTACCCAATACTGGTAATCGATTACCATAGGCAAAAATGGTGAAAATTTGCCTTATTGATGTGTTGTCTTGGCTCTGCCTCAATTCTTTTGCTTGTCAAAGAAAGCATGGAAATAAACACATGAACCTTGGAGTCTCTTGAATAAAAGTCAATCAAATCTTGGGAAACTCTTGATCAGATGATTTTGAAATGGTTGCAGATCAACTTCGACTTTGTTAAGATGAAATTCATTCGAGCTGAGGGACTGATATTTGATATCTTTGCTCCAAAATCTTCCTAAAGAAGTTAGTAAAGGAAAAACAAACATTTTTTTGGATTTTAATCAATGGTTAGTAAATATAAACATAAACAAATAAGAAAACAAAAGAGCCCAGTGGTCTCTCAAGAACAAACTTGCAGAGGGAGGCAGAGAACCAAAGATTGCAATCTTTTTTGTGGGATGAGATGCAAATGACATGTGGGATCTTATAGGTAAAAATTAGGGTATTACAGCTGCCCTTATTTAAGTTTCTTCTATCCGAAGATATGAAGATTGACATCTTTGTCTCGACCAGATATAAAAGACTTAAATATAACAAATAAACCCAATTGACCTAGTAATGAGAGTGAGTGAGATAAGTCATCCTTGATTACAAGAGACACAATTGATCTGATATGTGGTCTTTCATTTATTTGTTTAACACATGTCTTTTAGTTATTCTACAATCAAGCCGCATGTTAGAGGAACAACTGAAAGACCCCATATCAAACCAACTGTGTCCCCTATAATCAAGGATGATTCATCCCACTCACTTCTATAATCAAGTTAGAGATCAAAGGTGCATGGCCAAATTGATAGACAGGAGAACCTGTCTTCTCAAACGCATCTTGGATCAAACAACCACGTCTATAAATACCCCGACAAGGAAGGTGAATTATTCATACACTAAGCCCTCTTGCGCATTTTATTGCACGCATAGTAACCCATATTGTACTAATCACAAGTATATATATTTTTTGGGGTCTCTAGACAAAGTAATAATAACCACTAAAAACTCACACGCAACCGCCTGTCTCAAAATTCGAACTGTGGTGATGGCGTCCAGTCTATCAAATCAACTTTTGTCAGCAAAGTTTAGATTCGCGGACCACAATTATAAATATTTATATTTTTTACATTGAGATTTATCATAACTTAAATTATTTTTATAAAATTGGATTTCTATTAAATAAAATAAATTAAAAATTAACATTTTATGATTTTTTTGGGTAAAATGTTTTATGAACTTTAATCAGACATGTATGTTTTAATGTATTTCATTTACATATCAATTAATTTTAATCTAGTACTAAAGTATATTTGCATAATTTAGGTGATAAATGTTTTAGTTGAATAATAAATGTCATAATTTACTAATTAAAAATGATCAAATATTTAATATATTAAATTCAACACGTAATGTCAACCAATAACAAACTATTGATAAATATATAAATTAACTATCAATTGATAACTAGATTCGAAAATGATTAGTTTCTAAAATTAAATAACACTTTGTATTATTAACAAATATATTGTTAACTGATATAGTAATTAGCTAGTTGAGTAATATTATTAATGTATAAAGACAAACTAACTAATAGATGATCAATAAAATCGGAATATTATCATTTATTAATAACGGTTAAACATGAAAGAATAATATTCTTTAACTAATTTACCGTTATAATATCCGATTTAACTATAATTTCTTAATTAGTTCGATGCCAATATTCTTTATACGCATGTGAAAAGAAAACAAATTTGTGTTGAGATGGTAAGAAATTTTTCTAATTTATATTTATCTACATAAAATAAAGAATGAAATGAAATGAAATCTCGCGATATATTGTCGGCGCGGGGAGAACGAAACTCGCCGAATGCCACAAAGTACTTTCCCAATACCTACAATCAAAATTCGCCACGTATACGACATAGTTTTGATGGAGGACACGTAGGTGGGACCCACATATTAAATTGGCTGTTCTGGTTTAATGAGCCAGCTTCAACCAATAAAGACTCGTAACCCACCTTTCTCTTTCTTTCACTAAACCGGTTCGGTTTTCGTGACGCACCATCACCGTACGGCTCGTGCTTCTTCTCTTTCTTCTTCAGCCGAGCCGGTCACGCGTGTCTCACCAACCGTTAATACAAACGTTCAATTTTTTTGCTTCTCTATCTCTCTTGTTACGCGTTCTATTATTCTCTCTCTTTTTGGTTCATATAATAATTGTGTTCTCGCGCTCCATTTCTCGCCGGCGATTGTTTCAGATCAGTCGCCGGCGATTTGGCCGCCTCCGTTAGCTTTTCCTGAATTCTGAGATCTCTCAGTTTCGCGTTCCGATTTAGATTTAGTGTTGCAAACTGTGGTAATGCGGTTTGGAATTTGAGGTTTACTCATTTGTTTGAATCTGGCTGGGATCGATTTTGGATCAAGGAAAGTGAAATTGGAAGTAGTGTAATTGTTAGAGATTTTAGGGTTCGTACATTGATAGAAGGGAGGGTTATGAAGGAGCCGTTGTTGTGGGGAAGAGAAGAGAAAAGTGGGAGCAAAAGAGGGAAAGTGATTTGGGAAGGGTTGATGATGATGAGTAAGAATAAGGTTGAGAAGTTGAAGAATACCGTGACGGTGAGGTCTTCGAGGATGAACTTGTGGATGATACGAGCTACCACGTCGGTGATTTTGTGGATTTGCATTGTTCAGTTAACTGCATTTGGTGATATGTGGGGTCCTAGAGTTTTGAAAGGTTGGCCTTCGTGTTTTACTCAAGAATCTGCAATCGTCGAGCTGCCTTCTATTCCGCCCAGGGTTCTTCCACCCAAGAGTTAGTTACTCGTCATTTCAATTTCATGTGTCTTACACTATGTAGCACTACACCTCTGAAAAAAGTGTCTCAGAGTCCGTGTTCATGACTTTTCGTTTATTCATTTATTGGAATTATTATCTGTGTCGACTTAAGTGTCTTAGTTGCACATTAGTCCTATGGAATCCGTAACAAGTATGATCAGTTATGACTAATTTGTTAAATGTTTTGATGTAACCAATGTTTTTGAGTATTCAAAAACTTGGGATAAATTTTTGCATAATGCTTCTGATTTTTAGCAGTAACGAGTTTAGTTTTTTTTGTTCTACATGTTTTGATGAATTGTGTTTTGAATATATTGGAGTACTTTCCCAATTGTTTTAGAGGGTGATAATTTTGTTTGATTTTATGCAGGGGTTTATAAAAACAATGGTTATTTGATGGTGTCGAGCAATGGAGGATTGAATCAAATGAGAGCGGCGGTAAGTGGTTGGTACATGCGTTTGGTGTTTTATATTGTGGTAGTGTTGGGGGATTTTTAGCTTTGATTATCTGATGTGATGTAATTGTGCAGATATGTGATATGGTGGCAATTGCAAGATATTTAAATGTCACTCTAATAGTCCCTGAATTGGATAAAGCATCCTTTTGGGCTGATCCCAGGTTAGTTTTTTATTTCATGTATTTTGGTTTGAGATTCTTTTAGGGGAAAACAATTAAGATCTCTTCTCAATAACTGATTATGATTATGTCACTTATATCAGTGAGTTCCAAGATATATTTGATTTGGAACATTTTATTACATCCTTGAGAGACGAGGTGCGGATATTGAAAGAGTTACCTACTAGACTCAAGCGAAAAGTGGAAAATGGATTTCTTTACACCATGCCCCCGATTAGTTGGTCTGACATGTCATACTATAAGAATCAGGTTAGTTTTTTTTAATCTTTTGCCAATAAGTTCCATGTCCTCAATTGTGTTTTTTTGATAATTCATAAGCAAATGGCACGGATATTCTTTCAGATTCTGCCATTGATACAAAAGTATAAAGTTGTCCATTTAAATCGAACGGATGCTCGGTTGGCAAATAATGGACAATCTTTAGAGATTCAGAAGCTGCGTTGCCGAGTCAATTTTAGTGCTCTTAGATTTACTCCTCAGATTGAGGAGTTAGGCAGAAAGGTGATCAATCTTCTGAAACAGAATGGCCCATTTCTGGTACTTCACCTGAGGTATGAGATGGACATGTTGGCATTTTCTGGCTGTACTCAAGGTTGCAACAGTGACGAGGTAGAAGAATTGACAAGGATGAGGTGAGTTATCTGGTCCATAACTTTCATTCCTGGAGTTTGAAAGGAAATATAATGTAAATCTTTGCTAAATTTTAATTTCTTGAACATTGACAGATATGCTTATCCTTGGTGGAAAGAAAAAATAATTAATTCCGATTTGAAAAGAAAAGATGGTTTATGTCCTCTAACACCCGAAGAGACTGCTCTTGCGCTTAGGGCCTTTGACATTGATCAAAACATTCAAATCTACATTGCTGCTGGGGAAATATATGGTGGGAGTAGGAGAATGGCCAGTCTAGCAAAGAACTATCCAAAATTGGTAACTAACTTACGGCTCAATATAGAGAGAACCTTTGAATTGTGATTCTTTTCGTGTTTGAATTCCTCTTACTGCTGTAAATTTGTGCTTTTCTGAAACAGGTCCGAAAGGAAACACTGTTGGAACCGTCTGAACTTCAGTTCTTCCAAAACCATTCCTCTCAAATGGCAGCATTGGATTATCTCGTCTCATTAGAGAGTGATATCTTTGTTCCTACATATGATGGAAATATGGCCAAAGTAGTTGAAGGTCATCGCAGGTAAAAATTGGCTGATAATAAGAAATGTTATTTGTCTACTCTACATGATTTTCTGTTCCACTCCACTGCATTCAAATTTTAATTTGTTTCAACCGGCGGTAATAGTACTTGTTCTCTATATTTTTGTTTATTCTTTAGGATAAATTTTTTTGTGCACTCCCCAATCTAGAACATTTATCTCCCATTTTTTTTCCAATCCAAATGATATTGACTTGTAACCTCCAATTCTTCTGCAGATATCTTGGGTTCAAGAAGACAATTTTATTGAACAGAAAGCTCTTAGTTGAGTTGATAGATCAATACAACAATGGAGAAATGAACTGGAATGAATTCTCTTCTGCCGTTAAGCATTCTCATGCAGATCGCATGGGCGGCCCAACGAAAAGATTGGTAATACCCGATAGACCAAAAGAAGAGGATTTTTTCTATGCCAATCCAGAGGAATGTTTAGAACCATCAGAAGATGACACATCGAGAAGTACAGCGTAAGTGGAGTGTTTGGAAAATAATGGAATAGCACTTATGTCCTCTACTTGTGCACTTGGCTTTCTACCACAGACATTAAATTTACACAGTTTTAGCAAAGCTGATAGCATTTAGTATGGAAAAGGGCAAGAGCAGCAGCCATAGTGACTGTTAGAAGAAGGGTTGGGGGTAGACTTTTTTCATGAAAAAAAAAAGCTTGAGGAGGTCAAAAAAATTAGCCAGGGTAGTTTTATATATAAAATATGGAAATAAACCAACCATCACATTCAATGTATAGAAGTTACCCTGCCATTACAGGGTGAGAGCTGATCAAACTGCATTGTATACCGAGGCATTCATATACACATATCTTGCAACATGCAGTTTACAGAAGCTTTAGTCCTTGATGCCTCTCATTTTTTCCCTCCCTAATATATATAAATATATGATAAGGTGATATTTTCCTCTTTTACCACATTTCTAATTTCTTAGCTTTGTTCTTGATTTATTAATTAGTTGGGGTACTTTATTTTGTTTTCTCTAACTAACGTTTACTATACTTTTAGCTTCATAATAATTGCTTAATAATGTATGCTATCTTATCCATCAATCATCAAATCGCCAAGAACCAATAAGAATCTGACTAGGAAACTCTTGTTCTCGTGACTCGTCTGACTATTTATCTAACATCATGCCGTTAGATGGAACCAGAAGCAAGTTGTATCGGTTTGAGTGCTTATCGTATAATTTAGGGAATTTCAACTTGTTGCTTTCTTTGTAGTACTAGTATATGTTCACGAATAAGACAGATATCTACTCAAAATAAAAAGAACAAGACATGAAGAACATAACCAGCCAAAATTGGTCCGTTTTTATTTTTTGGTTTATTCTTTACAACGTCGGCAATTTGATGTGATTTGTGTGTGGTATTTGGACGAATAATTATGAATCCCTCGTGGTATCTCGCAGGAGTTAAGTTGGTTGTTGGCTGTATATGTCGCGATAAATTGAGGATTATGACGTGCCTTGCTCTTTTTTTTTTTCTAGTGTAGACTTTTTGTCTTTGTCATAAAATTCACCTAAGATTATTGTTCAGTTTTAACTTTTATATCTGTTTTACTTTTATTTTAAATATATACATGGAAAAGATCCAAAATTATGTTTTAAATTTAACTTGTTAGTGTCAAATTTTACTCTTCTCTCTTTCAACTATGATGGATTTCTTGATGGCAAGTTACTAAAATCGCCATTGACATGGTACATTGCAGATTTATGTTCTATCAGTTTAAAATGTTGAAACTAAAGCCAAACATAGAGGTTTAGGAGAAAATCATTTATTGAATCAAACACTGTATCGTCCAAACATAGCATAGTCTTCTTCTCTTTATGACCAAGTTTCTCTAACACCTATCTCATTCAAACACACTGGCATGCACAAGATGAAGTTGCTATGTACTCAGCATTTATATAGTAGACAATGTCACTACATGGTGTTTTTTAAGATCAAGAAATAGCTCCAAAACTAAGAAAGGAAACAAAGTCCATAGTACTTCTTCGGTCATCCAGATAACAAGTAAAATCAATGACAACATAGGCCACAAGATTTCTATAACCTTCCTTTTATATAGAAAATTTCAAAGTCAATGATACCTGTAAGTACTGACTTTTGAAATAGCTGTATTTTGGTAAAACATGTTGTTAGTAAGATGTTGAACCTGTTGCTCTTGCCATGACAGTCAAACATCATGTTCTACATGATGTTGCGACATGTTTCAGGACATGTTATACCAGATAATTAGGGCATGGTTATTTTGGTAATTTGAATGTGTTCTGATTCACACGTATGCGCTATCCATAGAAGGATATTTTAGAAACTTCTGTTTTGACAGATTGTAATGTTTTTTTAGAAAAGGATCGTTGAGTCTTTTTAGAAATTGTATTTTGCTCCAACTTTTGTGCAGGAAACTGTGCTTGTGATTCCAAGTTGATTCCTGATGAATTGTGACTCAAGAAGTCCAAGTCCAGTAGGTCTGAAGGCTATTTAAAGAAGATCTAAACTTAATGTATTCACGATTTTCATTTTTGTAAAAACTAGAGAAAGTTTTAGAAACTTAGGTTTTGAGAGTCTCTTGTGTGTGACTTTGTAAGTCACCCTCTGTATCGTTTGATGCATTGTGGTAGACATATTGTTTGTTGTATGATGTTCTCACTCTAAAGATTTTAAGCAATAGAGTTGAGTATTGTTCTTGGTTGAAGCTTTGAAGTAAAATCGAGTATTGTTCTTGGTCAAGAGTTTTGACCTAGTATTGTAGTAGAAAGAGGGTACATCTTTCTTTTTGGTTTCTTGTGGCATGGTCATTGGGATTATGACTGCTTATTAGAAAGTGAGAGGGAGATCTCATATCTAGATGACGATTTTTAGGTAGAAGTAGCACAAGGTAGTGATTAGGCGAGAAGTTGTAAACAGACGAGTTTAGCTTTGAACTAATGCTATCATAGTGAATTTCTTTTCTGGCTTGAATGCCCCAAGATGTAAGTGATGTTGCACCGAACTGGGTTACCAATTAATTGTGTTATTTATCTTTCTGCATTTAAAACTCTGCATATTTACAGTTGGATAATTTGTTCTATCAGTCTGAAGATGTCAAAACATCTGTCATGACTTTGTACACTGATGTTGAGACATCAGAATCTCCATCATGGGTACTGAAAGCTCCGTAGATTTAACTAAATTTTTATAAAACATGATATTACACAAGATGTTCCAACAAGAAGAAATATGTAAGGAACAACATGTCAGGTAAGATGTCCTAGCGCTGTGGGCTTGACATCTTGATCTGGTGCAGCAAATTTGTTGCAGATTTGTTCCAAGTTTTAAGATGCAATCAGAACGTGGATTAAGGAAAGATTGGACAGATACTTCGGAGCCCATGGACTGCTGAAGGCTATAAAAGGAATACCAAGACCTAGGATATAGAGATAGATCGTAAGAGAGTAGACCTTGTAACAAATTCTTGTAAAGTAATTATAAGGGTTTAGGATTTTGAGAGTCGTGTACTTTCTTGTGTTGTAAGTCACCCTTTGTATCAATTGATACATTATGGTAGAAATAGTTTTACATATTCAGAAACCGTTAGGTAATGAATTGTATATTGTTCTTGGATGAAGCTTTTAAGCAAATCCATGCATGGTTGTTAGTCAAGAGTCTTGACTGGATATTATATTGAGAGGGGTGTCTTTCAATTGAACAATTTGATACAGTCACTGGAGGTTGTGACTGTTAGATATCATTGAGGTGATTTAGGAATTGTGACATGTTTCTCTTATCTAGACGGTGATTTCTAGATAGAATTGTACTGGGTAGAGATTAAGTGCTGAGTTGTAAATGGGGTAGTTTAGCTCAAAATTAATACTATTAATAGTGGATTCATTCCTGGCTTGGTAGCCCCTAGATGTAGGTACTGTTGTTCATCAAACTGGGTCATCATATCTTAGTGTTCTTTATCTTTCTGTTATGTTAAATTCATTATGCTCTTAAGTTCTGAAATACATGTCTTAACAGATGTTGAAACATCTGTCATGACACTGTTATGCATTTGAAATTTTTGAATGTTCTTGTTTTTGGACTTGTTTAGTTAAGTAGAGATCAATGTCTCGACATCTCTTGGGACATCTGTGATCTGCATACCAGAATTTCAATTGGTACCAGAGCAGGCATCTTGTTCTATTTCTGGATGAGTTCTATGGAAGATACTTTTTGGTCTTTTGAACAAGAAAGAAGACTGTGTAATCAGACCATCCATTACTGTTGTGATCGAGGAGATTGGAAGCTAGGAGAATAGCTCTATGAATATGTCCTGACAACTATTGATGATTGATTGAGTGCTATGTGAAGATTCTTCCGCTATTGCTGATAATGTTGTTTGTGTTAAGCATGATGTCTTATAAAATGTTCTGACATCTATCATGGCTTGTTGAAGATGGTGCTGAAGCAAGAATTGTGATGTCTTCCTCTGAAGAATCATTATATATTACTCGAGAGACGGGGTCAACTAGGTACCATGAAGAGTAATAGGAGGAAAAAGGTTGAGTTAAGATCTTGTATATCAAATTCATGATCTATGGATTTGGTAAACTCTCTATGTCATGTTTTAGGTAACCCAAGATACTCGAGTCCTCTCTCAAGTCCACTCATAAAGGCACTGCTGAATGTGTTCAGAAGAGAGAATGGTCTTCTATGGAAGATTTATGCCTTGAAGATTTCTTTCCAGGTTGTTGATTGAGTAAGGAGTAGTGTCTTATGACATTTTGTAACTGAAGCATACAAAATTGGGGATTTAAAATCAATTGCTATTTGTGGCCTTAGCAAGTATCTGATTGATTATTCTTTTTAATTGGTGATGTCAAAAGTGTCCCTCCTAAAGGTGAGACTTTAGACATGGAAAGAACTCAATATCCAATGGCTTGTTCATGGGAAAAAGACCCGATGTTCAACCAGATGTTGAAACATCACTTCTGAAGAGTGTGCGCAGAATCTTGTTAATCTAAAGGGTGAACTTCTCGGACAAAGAAGAGATGTAGCATATGTTTTTAAGGATAAAAGAATGTGTGTTTATCAATAGTGTTGGGAATCTTCTTTAGATTGGTCATGAAGAGTCTTTTGGTCTGTAATCTAGGAAGCCTTTATCCAAGAGTTTTGTCTTGTATATGTATGCTGGTGAAGATGAAGATCAAGACACCATTAGCTTTGATGAGTTTTCTTTAGGTCAGTTTATTTCTGATCTGGAGATAGGGGCCTGGTTATACTTTGAAGAAGATTTTGGCATGTTTTATGTTGAAGGGGTGTGAAGACATCTCTTCCAGATTCTGTGTATATGGAGGTCAAGGAAACATGTCTAGGACATCAACCTGACATCTTGATACTTTTTTGGCTATCTTGGGTGATCTCGTAGATATTCGTCTATCCTATGACTACCTCCTCTATTAGGTTTGGTTTTGGAGTGGATGCTCTCCAACTATATGGT